CAAACAAAAAGTTGCATAAAAATTCAACGGAAAAGCTTAAATTTACCTATGAAATCTTCGATCTTCTCTGTATTTACTTTCCATTTACCTTTTGGCCCATGAAATTCCTACACAATTAATTTTGTTAAATATTTGCCATCCCCAATATTATTCAGCTTGGTTCTAACTTCTAACATTTACCTTCGTGGAGCCCCGTTGTAAAATGAAAGATCCAAGTTTACTCTTAAACTATCAAATGGGTTTATATTTACCTTCTATTTTACTTTCATCGTTGAAAAGAAAATTCCATTTCGGTGTTGAATTAAACTAAAAATATTGATATTTTTGGATTTGTCTTTATAAAAATTTGACTTTCCTAAGAAAATCTTCAATCTCTTTTTAAAAGTATTTTCTCATCCATAGTTAGAGAAATTAGAATATCATGAATTAGGAGAGAGAGTGGTCCCATTTTTTGGGATATTTTTCATTAGTTATCATGTTTATTTGAAACAAATAAAATATAATATAAAATAGAAATTAAATATCTTCTTTTAAAGCTTAACTAGCATTAAACTAATCCTGTAATTGACAAATTGAATAAATTCAGTTTTCCATTTCTTTTACATTCATTATAAATCGCGTTTTGTAATAGCATCTTGAATGCAAGTAAGATATCGCATTGTTCCAATACGCCTTAAAAATCGTATTCTTTAATGCGATTTTTAACTCGCATTTAGTCAATGCGTTTCGTAAATCGCATTCTTTTGATTTAATTAGGCTCAGCCAAAAAAACTCCTGGACACTTGGGATTCGCCTACATCTGACGCTTAGCTTCTCTCGTCCGGCCCGGCCTCCGGCGAATTTGACTGGTAACTTACTCTCTCTCTCAAAATCCTCAGTGATTTTTCAAAAGTTAATACTTTTGTGCCGATATTGTTCAATAAATTTTTGGTACTACCAATTTTCCAAATTCAATCGCCTTCACTCTTTCGGTTAACTTTTGCTACTGTTGCATTGATTTCAATCTCTTGGTACTATTGAACAATGAGTGCTGGCTTTGCTTTCTACACATTTTTTCAGTTTTATTTGTCCAATTGTGGTTCATGTCCTAGAGTTATTTCTTTTTTCTTATTTTTTTGAGTGATGTATTGAACAACTTGCCAGTGTGAGCTTGCTCACATTGCTGGTGCCAAGCTTAGATAAGGGAGGAGGGTCGATGCAGGCTCACTCTAACTTGTTTAGGATTTAGGGGTAGTTGTTGCTGTAGTGATGTTTTAACTTTTCGAAAAATCTGTATGCGAAACACTAGAGTTATACAAACCTAGAATAGCCTCTTGCCATGTGACCAGGAGGTCACGGGTTCGAGCCGTGGAAACAGCCTCTTGCAGAAATGCAGGGTAAGGCTACGTACGATAGACCCTTGTGGTCCGGCCCTTCCCCAGACCCGCGCATAGCGGGAACTTAGTGCACCGTGCTGCCCTTTTTAGAATATGCTTTGGCCATTTTAAGACTCAAATTTAAATGCTTTTCAACATAATTTTGTTGCACTAATAGGTCAATGGGGGTTGAAGCGGAAAGCGAGAAGTGAAGCGCACGATTGACGACATTAAAAAAGTACCAAAGATACATGAATTTAGCACTCTAATGATCAAATGGCAATTAAAATAACTAATTTCAGTATGGAATAAACTGTAATGGTGATATTGATCTAACTCCTCAATGTTGAGATTCAAATAATTGACTGTTTCTCGTTAGATCACTTTGTGCATCATTGTTTGAAGCACACACTTCTATGAAGCTTCATGCCTTCACTCATGAAGCAATAACCCCTTGCTTTGCATGGTTTCATTGCTTTAAGCAACGAAGGGATGGCTTTTAATAATGAAACTCTTCTAATGTTTTAATTCACCATTGTCTTTCCTCCACTTTTTATTTTATTTTTTAGTTGCATTTTACATTTGAATGCTATACAACCATTATCTTTTTATAGACTCAGTGCACATGTGATGCACAACTAGACATACTTCAGTAAGTTTCTAGGTTAATCAACTCTCTATATATTGAAATTTGAAAGAAATGTTCAAAATCTTCTCTGCTTTGCTCTTTCTTTTCAATTATTTTTTCCTAATTCCCATTAGTTCCGTA